AGAAATACAAGCCATCATATGAGTAGATATATGTACACCAATGTTCATCGCAGCCCTATTCACAATAGCAAAAATATGGAGACAGCCTAAGTTCCCATCAATGGAAGACTGGATAAACGAACTTTGGTACATACAAACAATGGAATATTATGCTACCTTGAAGAATAACAAGGAAGCTGCAAGCCACTGCATAACATGGATGAACCTTGAGACATTATGCTGAGTGAAATCAGTCACACAGGCCAAATATTTCATAAGACCATTATTGTAAAAGCTTAAGAAAAGATACCCATACTTAAAAAAAAAAAAATTATTTGTTGGTTACTAGTGGGGGTGGTATGGGGGGTGTTGAGGGAGTGGAGGGAGGGTAATGTAGAGCACAGGACAGGGTCAGACACATAGTTTGGGTGTTGGGGAGGGCAGTACACAAGAAGGGTGAAGGGGTGGAAGAACAAGGTAGATAGGGGAACAGTGAGACAGGTTTGCACGAACTAAATGAGACAGAGGTAAATAGTGATGCATGCTCAACCCTGGAACAAGAGGGCTCTGTGATACAGGGATCAAGACATAGTTTGAAGAGGGGAAATAATACTAAGATGCTTGACTGTCTTATGTATATTGGTTTCCCTTGCCTACTTTTGTAAAATGGAAACTTGAGTTGGATAGAAAGGAATGCCGGGAAACATGATTATAGAACGCTTGTAAGCTCGTCTTCGGCCTATAACTGATCAGAATGCCTAAATGGGTTCTAGAACTTGCCCAGTGAAATATGCCTACTGTGGAGCCTTTGCAGTGTAGAGGGCCTTAGGTAGAATCTTGAGCCCTATCCAGAACCTTCTGAGGTAGGACATTCCCACTTGAAAGGCACAGCAGACCAGACTGGAACAGCCAGAGCAACAGAAGATACATCTGCAAAGAAAGATCATCAGGAAAAGCCCAAAACAAAAATGGCAGTATGACTGGCTACTGCAAGAATAAATAAGTTGTTCACCGGGAAGCCTTCAAGGCAAGCAATCAACTTCCTTCAGGACAAACCCCCTTCTAAAACTGAAACTCAAAGGGAACACATGAGCAGGCATGGAAGCTTGCTGACAACCACATTAGTCTACTGGTGAGTGGAAGAGGGAGAAAGGCAGCAATGAAGAAATGGGCTGAGTTCAGCCACATTCCAGAGACTCCTATTGACCTGGAGATGAGAGAAAGAAGAGGAATTGTTGGTTGGTCCAAAGTGTGGTGACCTGGGGACACCTGAGCCTATGGACAAGGACATAGCCACAGAGGGCTACAGCTGAGAGTGAAGCATCCAGCTGATATGAAGTGAGAGGAGTCACACAAAAACACCCAAAGTTGCAGATCTGACCTTGCCTTGATGGCTTGATAATCAGAACTCCACTAGAGGAAGATAAAAAAAACACAAAAAACAATTTTTGATAAAGGAAACCAGGTTAAATTGCTACACTTTGATGAACTTGACCTATACTCATGAAGGTGGTAACTCTAAATACCAACAGAAAGGGAAGGAGTCTTCACTTCAAGTATCAATGCTATCCCCTCTGTGCACAGGGTAGACAGGGATGGGCAACTCAGACATTGGCTACCTAAAATTCAGGGGCGATAAAGGCACGAAGTGACTACTTAAAAAGTTTCAAGAGGGAGTTTAGTTTAAGTGTGTGGGGAAAAAAGAATCCCTGCTGAATAGTTTTCATCTTGTCTAGATGGATCTGGTGAAAAGAGATGGGGATAAGATTCTTATGATTC